AAAGAAAGAAAGAAAGAAAGAAAGAAAGAAAGAAAGAAAGAAAGAAAGAAAGAAAGAAAGAAGAAGGAAGAAACTTCTGGAACCTGCTGACAGTGAAGAACAAAGCTGAGTTGAATTACTATATATTCCCACATGCAGCGGCTCGCTTTTAAATACATATCCTGGCACCTCTGCCATATTTCTTTAAAACATCTTTTAATTGTGTGACTATTAAGCAAACTAAACTTTAAGATTGGATCTTGCTGCTGAGATTTATGGGATTCATAGGGTAGAACTTATTAAAAGGAGAAACCCACTGAGACCAAAGCAACTTCCCAAATATCTGCCCTCTCCAGGAAGATGTGAAGTGTTTGCTCTAGCACCATTCATGCCTTCCAAGTGAACAGCATACAGTTCTCCCGGTAGGTTTTTTTGTTTTGTCATTTGCTTCTCTTTTAAAAGCTTGTGTGTGTGCACGCCTGTGAGTACAAGTGCCTGCTGAGGCTAGAAACAAGCATTGGACCCCTGCTGCTGGAATTACAGGAGTTTGTGGGCTGCTTTGTAGCTGCTTGGAATTGAACTCGGGTCCTGTGCAAGAAGAGCAGTAAAAGCTCTTAACTGCTGAGGTATCTTTCTGTTTCTCTTTAACTAAAAATCTTGATAAGCCTCAACTGGAAGTCATATATTTTTTAAATCATTTATTTATTTTTATTTTATGTGAATTGGTGTCTTGACTGCGTGTATGTCTGTGTGAGGGTATCGGATCCCCTGGAACTGAAGTGAGCTGCCATGTGGGTGCAACTTGATCTCAAATTAGTGTAGTCACAACTCATTTTGTGGCTATTAGATTTAGAAGATGATTTCAACATTTACACAAAAAAAGCAAGAGACCCACAATAGTGAACGTAACCACTAATGGAAATGAACACAGCTAAAGGACTTACACCAGCTGGTGTCAAGGCTCACTCTAAAGCTACAGTACCCAACTCAGAAGTAGACCTTCACACAGTCAAATGTTTTCTTAAAAGGAGAAAAAAGACATGCTGCATGTCCTCTCCCATGTGTGAAACCCAAATCATGCATATGTGTTCATGTATGTGTGTTTGTGAGCCATGAAACTAGAAAGGGGAATAGAAGGGGAAGGAAGAAACCTCGGTGGTGGTGGGAAATAGGACAATGGACTACCTGCCATAGGAGAGCAGAAGGGAAGACAAACTAGGAAAAGGGATCTGGCTAAGGGTGGAGAGGGCACAGGCAAAACAGTGGGGTAGGTAACAGAAAAGAACAAAGCATAATCCAGATCATGATGAAATCCACTACTATGTACACCAACCTGAAAGGCTACTTATTTATTTTTGAAGCAAGGTTTCACTATGAAGCCCTCCCTGGCCTAGAAATTGGTATAAAAACCAGACTGACCTCCAACTCAGAGATCTTATTTCTGCCTCTCAGTGAATGGCATGTGCCACCATGCCCTGCTTCAAAAGATTTTTTTTTAAAGGAACAAAAGCAATAAAGAGGAGAAGTCAATCCTTCAAGAATTGGTGTTTGAATAACCTAGAGTCCGTGCGCAAAGGGAGAAAAGGGGCAGGGAGGACATGAGTAACAGACTTTACACTATTTTAAAAAAACATTTCAATGAAACAGATCTTAAAGGTGAAATGCAAGACCGTCCCATTTCACCAGGGAAACTAAGGTCCAGGGATGAAATCAGATGAAAGTTACCCAGCTCAGGCTAGACCACAATTCACACCTGACTGTGCTATTTCAAAGCCCTATCTTCCTCACCAACCTTTATCGTTATAAAGAAATGTAAGCTTGGGCGCTGGAGAGATGCCTCAGTGGTTAAGAGCACCAGCTGTTCTTTCAGAGGACCTGGGTTCAATTCCTAGCACCCACATGGCAGCTTAAAACTGTCTATAACTCCAGTTCCAGAAGATCTGACATCCTCATACAGACATACATGTATGCAAAAGTCCAATATGAAATTGAAATTTAAAAACTTTAAAAGAAAAAGAAATGCAAGCTTGGTATGGGGGTAGACAACTCAGTCCCCGATACTATATGGCGACATAGGGTGCTGCTATTGAAGACAAACCTACAGCTACACAGTGAGACTGCCCCCCCCACTGCCTCAAAAAGGGAAAAATAAAAATCACTACATTTAGATTCATGCTAAATGAAACTTCAGTGTTCTTACCATAAAAAAAGAAAAAAGGGAAAAAAATGCTATTGCCAGCTTTCATACCTAGTTATGTTTCACAGCAGGACGACCTTAGACAGCATTATGGATGCCATGTAGGGTTTTTTTTTTTTTTAAGATTTATTTATTTATTACGTACATAATGTTCTGTCTGTATGTAAACCTGCACACCAGAAGAGAGCACCAGATCTCATTATAGATGGTTGTGAGCCACCATGTGGTTGCTGGGAATTGAACTTATGACCTCTGGAAGAGCAGCCAATGCTCTTAACCTCTGAGCCATCACTCCAGCCCGCCATGTAGTTCTAATCAAACAAAAAAAAATTTTTTTTTTCTTTCAGGGCCTGAGTGTTTTTGTAAAATTACATCTTTGTCAAAGACATAATGAACTTCCTTCAAGAGGTTTGAGAGCACTCTTAGAGTATTATCCATTCATTTCATTAGCTCATGAATTTCATTCATTTAAAAGTATATGCTACCTGAATGGTGGTGTCAGACACCTTTAATCCCAACACTCAGGAGGCAAAGGTAGGTTTATCTCTGAGTTGGAGGCTAGCCTGGTCTATAAAGTGAGTTCCAGGACAGCCAGGGCTACACAGAAAAACCCAGTCTTGAAAAACCAAAAATAAATGAGTGAATAAATCGTATATACTGTATGTCTACTATGTGCAGGCGGCTTTTCTAGGCACTGAGCATTAAAGATGCATAAAGCACTCTAGAGGCAGAGGGAAGAAGATCTAGGAGTTTCAGAAGGAAATTGGCCTCGGATGTATTTTCAGTCAAGCCTTGTTTCTATAGTGAGAACCTTTCAATCTACAGGACACAGAGGAGCAGATACCCACCACCCCTCACCATAGGCTTTACAACTGTGGAGTGCTGTGCTGAACAAATACAGTGGAAGTCAAGCATGAAGCTCTGTATTTTCTGATGCCCCATTTTCAAATAAATAAAATTAAACAGTGACATAAAAAAATCTTTTATTAAAAATTATCTTTTATTTAAACCAACATATCAAAAATCACTTCAGCAGATAAGCGGAGTATATGCACCATTCCTCTCAATGAGATCTTTTACATTCTGTGGGGGACGGGTTGGGCACTTGTCAGCGTGCAGCGTTCACTTACAGTATCTCTCAGACTGGTCACGTTTCCAGCGCTCAGCAACCACATCTAAGGCTAGTGATGAAACACGAACACTGGGCTAGGGGAAAGCCGGATTGAGTCAAGGTTCTCCGGTCAAAATGTTCATGCTTCCTCACCGAAGACCTTGAGCCTCCTAAACCCTTCTGATTCCCAAACCCAGGTTTAGCCACAAGTTGAGAGGAGACAAAGAGCCTTCATCTCATTTCAAATAGGGGATCTAGGGGCCTCAGCACAGCAAACAACACTTCTCCTTCCACTCCAAAGAGCCTCCCTTCAGCTCTCATTCCAGTTCTGTAAATGACCTTGTGTATCAGCTCAATCTTGTCAAGATAACTGAGCATTGCATATTTGTACTTTTAAAAAAATTTATATATATATATATATATATATATATATATATATATATATATATATATATATATATATATATA